CGATAACATATTGGTGCAGATTATTTTCACCCAAACAAATAATAACCCAAACTATACATTGATGCGGATTGTCTATGAACTCTTTCTGAAGGTCACAGAAACCTGAACGCGTAATTCGGTGTTCTTTCCCATCTGTTGTAGTGCCCATACTTAATTTGTGCCCATACTTCTAAACCAATTTACCCGTTGCATATACAATTAGCATGAGCTAAAGTCTGTCTAACGAGAATGGGAAGATTTCGATAGATGAATTTCAAAAGATGACACGAAGATGACATTCAAAAGATGACACGAAATATAATTTCATTGTGAGTTAAAATGACAGGTACAAATGTCACTGTCTGATATTCATAAAGCGCATGTAATCATACCCAAAATAAAGAAACAATCAATTAACGTCCACGAGTGCACCGGAAAGGAAAAAAATTGGCGACGGGAGGCACGTATAGCCGCCCATACTAAAATATGTTAATAAAAAGTTGGTAGGCAGTTCTTTTAGTTTCAAAGTAAAGGAATTTTTCCAATTTTTTTATCTCAAAAACTGCGACTGACTGATTTTGATGTTATTACAAATTTTGTTGCAAATATTATTCCTAATCTTAAATCGAAAACCGCGTTTCGCTAGCTACTGTAATTTTGGAGTTACAAATTTTTAAAATGTTTAACCCTCTCCCATACCCCCTTAACAACCCCCCACCCCCACCAAAAACGAAGATTCTTAGATTCTCGGGTGCCACAGTCTTATTGTGCCAAATTTGGTTAAAATCGGTTTAGCGGTTTTTGAGTTATCGTGTTACAGACAGACGGACAGACAGACACCATGAAAATATTTTGTATTTAGGTCATTTATGACCCAAATAACTAATTTTGAGTGAAATTAAAAAAACTTTTTTTTTGCCGATCTTAATAGCCTACCATACCCGTTGGTATGGTCGGCTAAAAATACCAGATAGATATAGGTACTCGGGCTCGGGTTAGCAGATATGTGACATCATAACGGTTAAAATATTCAACAAAGTTAAATCGGTTTTACGGTTAGATATTCCAGACATTTCTTCCAATAACTTATAAACCCGGACATGCCTTACATTAGTCCAATCTTCGTAGGGTTAAAAATCATTCCCGATAGAAATGATTTTTTCTCCTGTTGATTTTGAAAAAAAAGTGTTGATGGTATTTTTACGGTCTAGGATTAACAAATATATGTATTATCGAGAAAATAATGTTTTTTGTCGTTGTGGAACTATCTGGAAGTTGTACCGATATTTTTACCGCGGTCCGTTGGTCGCGAGATGACGTCGCCTTTGCGACATTTCTGGGTTCGTTTCCCGGTCGAAAAAACAGGGATCTGCCCACCGTAGTCGTTGCGGTCGTTCGTCCACGATTAGCGCTGATGCGTTAAGAAAATCGTGGCCGGCCATCATTCTGCATTATATATTTCCGGTCCGCTGACTTACCGAACCCACCGAGAAACAAAAACGGCGCGCTTCTTGCTAACCTTACCGAGGTAATTACGCGGATGGTGGTGTATCGGTGGTTCGCAAACTGTTTATAGGTTTGGATTAACTTTATGATGTCTATTGGTCTTTTCAGACCTATAGTCTGTCCAACGACAAGATCCTTGACAGTGATAGATGTGTCTGTCATTTTAATTTTAAAGTAGTTTATTTTATTTTACAAAGAAATAAGTTGGTACAACTGGAACGCATAACAGGCAATTAATACATTTAAAATTTGACTGATAAGTAATTAAGTTTGGAAACCACTGGGTTAAAGTCTTCAATTTTGTTTTCAATTTATTATAATCTTCCCTTTAGTGATTCGAATGAAATTTTGACTTCTTGATGAAATAGACGCAATTTTATTAATCATTAATTGGCCGAAGTGTTAAATAAGTATAAGAGAAATTAAAATAACTTTGGTTGCACATCATAATACGACCACCAACAAACTCCATAAGACGACGCAGGGTGTCATTGATGACGTGCAACGAAAGTTTTTTTAACTTCCTTTTACTCGTGGATTCCTCATCAAAAAATATGAAAAAAAGTTCCTATAAACATGGGTATGGAAATGCATAGTTTTAGAGTTACAAGATGTAAAACCTTTTTAAAATGAAGTCTTTTGTGATTATCTTAAATACCATTATTTTTTTATTTGAATTTGCTGTAGGTAGGACTAACAGTAATATAATATTTAATAATAAATTAGATAAAATAAATAATTTATTAATTTTATTTTTGTTTTTATTTTATTAAATGTAATTAATAAAATTGCGTTTATCTCAAGTAGATCAAAATCGGCAAAATATCAAGATACAACTGTTAATTGGCATTAAACGGTCTATACAATTTTGCTATCACAAGAAAAAATTCAGCAGCGCACATGTTTTTTTTTCGTAAAATATTTCAGCGATAACCCATATGCACGTCCCTGATGAATTTGTCCATACTTTTTTAGCATTAAAATATGTAGCACTTATAGTAATTTTTACCCTCAAAATTTCATTCGGATCGCTAGAAGCACTTAGAAAATTATAATAAATCGAAAAAAAAAAGAAGACTTTAACACCTGGTAGCTATGAAACAAAGCAGAATTGGACCTATATTGATATAATAAATAAATCTTATTTTTACGTGAACAATCTCCCCACAAGAGATGGCACATGTTTTTTGAAACACCTTGTATATTCTTTTAAATGTTAAATCTGAATGTTAAATTTTCTTACATTAATTTTAATCTAATTCAAAGCAAAAACTACAAACTACAAAACTGAAATTTCACCTAAGGATATAAATAAAAAAGTGGCATATTTTCGATGCAACGCTGTATGAAACTCTTCATTCATACATATTTTTTACGATTAAGTATGTGCTAAATAATTTTGACCAGAATATTTCAAAGGAATTCTAACTAAAATACAGTAAAGTTGAAATAAAAATGCAATGTATCGTGGCTTGATTTTACACACACATTTCTGTTACAATCGTACGGTATTCAGAAACACAAAAATAAAAAATAGAAATGAATTCTAGGACGCGCACTATTTTAAAAATGTTTGGTTGCCACCGAACAGCTATGTTAGGAGATCCGCCTTTTTGACCATGCTCGCCATAGAGATTTTAAACATCGGAAAATACAATGTGCACGGCATATTTGTTATACTGCTGCACACATAGCAGGGAAGTCAATAATCCTGAGGATGAACATAATTATTTTAGCTTTATGGGGGCATATTCCAATTTATTTAACTTCAATATCGTAGATTAATGTTTTACAATTATCACGATTAGTGAAGAGCAAATGCAAGACTAAGACCAAGACTCGATTGGTCTTGGTTTTACTGCAAGACACTTGGATTTTTTAATGGATTTTTTCTGAACGCAATTTCTTCATAGAAAAACCTAAGAAAAATATTCTTAGCAATTTAATGCAAATGAAACTTTTTGAAGAAAGAAACAATATTTGCCCGATTAATATTTTTATTTTTCAATATACAGGGTGGTCTGAATTTTAATTGAGAAACTTCGGCAATATCTTCCGCAGACAAAAATAATAATAATGCTCGTTTCGGAGATATAGAATATAGAAGTTTAATTTATATTTCGGTTTTCCAAATAATTACTTATTCAATTGTTTTTGGTCATTTCCTGCTTCCTGTTTCACCGGAAATGATTAAAACTTTTGATTTTTAAATAGCACCCTCATTATATTTCTACTTTATTCGATAAAAAATGACACTCTCAATAGAATGGCATATCATATGTCAACTTTTGACATTTACGCATATGGTTTATTTGAAATTGTAACGTGCGGTTCATACCGACAATTTGACTCCAAACACTAAGTGTGTAGTACCAAATTATTCGTAAAAAAGCTTTTTCCAAATATGCTAATGAGTCACGCTTTTTCCATTTGAAAAAATTGAGATATGATTTAAAATACGATTTGGGCATCTTTTGCCAGGACATTAGACGATGCATTCTATTTTTCCAAGGTTCTTTCATTAAAAATTAGTGTTCTTAACATAGCCATGACACTCTAGATTGAAATTTTAAATACGATTTTGTTTTAAGCGAAAATGTCAAAAGTTGACAGATGATATTCAGTGTGTCATTTTCTATCGAAAGTAGAAATATACCGAGGGTGTCATTTAAAAATCAAAAGTTGTAGCCATTTTTGGTGAAACAGAAAGCGATCAAAAACAACTGAATACGTCAATCAATCTTAATTTATGTCATATACCAACATATCAAATCTCGTTTTTTTTATCTAAAAAAAATAAATAAGTTATAGGGGTGAGCCAATTTCGAGACGCACCCGGTATACCAATATAGCTTATTGTTGACAGCTACCATAAATTATATATAATATTCGTTGGCAATAGTTTAAGAAAAACATTTTTTTAATATTTTTTATTTAAAAAATTATAGGGTTAAGGGTGAAATAAATAAAAATTCCGTTATTTTTTTAAATTATCTATGAACAATGAAATGTAAAAAATACAGGACCGCAAGGGTCTTGCATGCTGGTCTTTGTCTTGCGTTAGTCTTGCACTGTGTTGGTCTAGCGGATAAAACGCTACTCTTGGCCTTGGTCTTGCTTTATATGCAAGATCAAGACCAAGACCAGTCTCGCTCATCACTACTCAAAATCGATTTAAGAAAGGAAATTAACATATTAGTATTTTAATAAAGCATGCTTTTAGATGTTTCAAAAAACTTTTAATAAGAGTAACTTTAACTCTACATATATGTTTCGGCTTGTTAGGCCTTTTTCAAGAGTTTTTTAAGAAACATATATGTAGAGTTAAAGTTACTCTTATTAAAAGTTTTTTGAAACATCTAAAAGCGTGCTTTATTAAAATACTAATATTTCAACGATGTTTCACAAGGAACCAACCACAGCTTCAGTACAGGAAATTAACATTTTAGAAAACCAGAATTTTGTTGCTATTTGATTTTCTATTCATGAATAATATTCTGATTGTTCTTTTTCAGATGTCGCAATCCTTCATCGGAGATCTTCAAAGTATTTAGCCCAATCAGCGACATCCAGGCTAAAAACCAAAAGAATCTAGCTTCCAGAAAAGCTTCCCAGCATAGAGATTCCTTTGAACGATTATTCGGAACTCCTGAGAACAAGAGAACTTCCAAAAAAGGTACCAATGACATTTTTTCCTTTTATAATACAGTATACAGTACAATAACATTAAGGACAGAAATTAAATAACTGAAATCAAAAGTTTAAATGAAAACGAATCTACGTGTTTACTAATTTTTGTCAATTTTCAGATATTGTAAATAGGAATCCAGTAACTGGAGATGGTGTAGCTTCCTGGGATTCGCTTAAGTTCAAAACGCCAAAAATATACAAAGGTAAAAAATTTCGTTAAAATCCTGAAATTATATTTTAACAGAAATATACCTAATTTCAATGAAATCACCAATCTTATTTGCTGTAAAAGATTCATGTTATTGGTTTCATATTTAAATTGTTTTTGATATAAATTTGATTATGAATTTTCATTCGATATCAGCGCGCATAAGGAGGGGTATTATCACCTCTGCTGTGGCTAATTGTAATGAACCCGATAGTGAGCTCTCTGACAATGAAGGGAGTTAGGATAAAGGCATATGCAGATAACGTGGTAATACTGATCGTTGATATAGACTTGCAGACGATCAATGACATCATGGAATCTGCTCTGAAGAAGCTAATGGAACGGACAAAAAAGAATGGTTTTGGCATCAGCCCAGAAGAAACCTCAACCAAACTCATTCTGTTTACAAAAAAAATATACAAGATACCCATGTTCACTCTAGCAAAGCTGGAAGGGGAGACACTTGTACTTGCTAAGGAAACAAAATATTTAGGAATCATTCTGGACTCGAAGCTTTCCTGGAAAAGTAACACGGAGGAAAGGATGATAAAGGGAATAAATGCATTCTATGCATGTAAGAAACTGTTTGGAAGAAGATGGGGTCTGCAACCGTACATTATACACTGGATGTACCTACACTGCAGTAGTTAAACCAATCATCACCTATGGAGCACTAGTATGGTGGGAAGCGATTAACAGCTCTAGGTACAACTAAAGCAAGGAACAACACAGCGCAAGCTGAGCTAGAAGTAATTCTGGACAAGCAATCAATCGACTGGCTCGTGAACGATCTGGCTGCTAAGGGCGCCCTAAAATTAAGGGATCCAATCTGTGGAATCAGACCAACTACGGTCACTCGAGGATATTGCCAATGATAGGGAAAATTATGGCGAACACCAGTCCACATCTGCTAGACCAGAAACCACTGCTGAGACCAAAGACCACACCGTTGCTGTGACCTGGCACCTGCTGGTGCTAGGCCACAGCAATGTGGTGAGCAACCAAGAAGCAGATTGATTATCAACTAAGGCCAAGCAGCAAGAGACGTGGCAATACCGGGAGTACTGCGCTACAGCTTGAAGATTGTGGCCAGTGGTAGGAAGCAAAAAGACAAAACAACTACTAGAGCACAAAAAGAAAAAAATACCTATTACAACCTAGTACACATGATTGTAAATCGCAGGAAACTGACACACGGGAGTAAACCTCGTGAAATGGAAGATTTCTAACAACGACTACTGCAGAGAATGCGAAAAGGAACAAGAGACTATAGACTATTTATAGCAAGCTTTTTTGTAGGGACCAGAGGAAGCAGCGAAGCCAACATCAGCGTACTTTAACGCAATAACAAAATGAGAGGAAGATTTGGTACAATAATAACAGGGGTATTGCAAGGGACCCAACGCCTCTGCCAGTGAGAGATCAAACATGACCCTTAAACCCTAGTAACCTAACCTAACCTAACCATAGTTTAGTCCCAGAAACACGTCCATGATTTTTTTGGCAAATCAAATTGTTGAAAATTTTAATTTTCTTTAAATTTTCTGGGAAATAAAAAAAATATATTGCCGCATTCTCCTGAAATTTCTTGCCTGTATATCGAAGTTCACAGTAACTATAATTTTTAACACATTAAATTACAAAGACTAATTTTAATTATATCTATATATTATACAGGGTGTCCCAGAAATAAGTGCAAGTATTTTAATGAGTGGTAGATCTCGATAAAAGAAACATATTTTCTCTTTATCGTTTTTCAAATAAGTCCAAAATTACAGAGTTATTTTACTTTGAAAATTTCCAAAAAAATATTTTTGCTTAAATTTTGGGAACCACTGATTCTTTTCTGATAATATGACAATAGAGAAAGATCCAGTGGAACCACTGGATCTTTCTCTATTGTCATATTATCAAGAAATTATGTTTTTTAACTAAAGACTAAAAAAAAATCCGAATTTTTAAATTTTTTTTGCGAAAAAGAACCTCATAGGCGTTTTTCTGGGGTTGAACTATACTACCAGTTAAAATATTTGCACTTATTTCTCGTACACCTTGTATTAATCAAAGTCGAGTGTTACATTATTTATCTCAAGAAAAGCTGGACCGATTTTAATGATATTTGATGTGCTAGATTTGCCTCCGCCTCGAATAGCAGAATTTTTTTTTATCAAAACCATTGATTTTTTTACATATATTTTACTTTTGATAGAGCCATATTATGTCAAATATCTGCAAAACAGTCAAAACACTTTAAATACAAAAATTCCGATTGCTATTTTTCAAATTGTCATTCTCTATGATAGAAAAATATTTTTGACGCGCTATACTTTACATACTAATATTTTTTATTTATTTTCAGAAAGAAACCCAATTACAGGAGAGACTTATATTATCAGTAGCCCTGCTTCAAGTCCCGCTACAAGTCCAACCCCAACCCCCACCAACGGATCGCTATAAAACACTGACTGCCAAAACACTAACGTCAACCCTCGAATCACCACGATGACGACACGAGACCCTTTTAGTACTTAAGGAAATAATTTTAGATCTTCCAGAGAGTTTAAAAGACAAACCAACATCCGAGATAGAAAGAAAATCTTCTAAAATAGATTTTTAGACCATTTTTCGATAAAAAAAAGTTTTGTTAGAGGTTAGAGAAAACTTGTAGATGGCACCCCGTATTTCCGCTAGCTCTATATGTTGGTAGAGTATCCGAAATACTTGTCAAAAAAATTGTAGTAGCATATAGTTGATTAGAAAATATCACTCAGTGACACACACCGTCTATATACACACATATACATATATTTTTTATATGATACTCGTTTATATAAATTATTATATTCCGAATACTTATTGTTTTAGGTTTTGATTTATTTATTTATTTTTAACTGAACTATTCTAATATATTAATTTTAAATCGTTTTTTAGTATTATCGGTATTTTAATAAACGAAAATATATACTGAACTGTTATGTTGTTTTTTTTTTCACGTTTGTAACAAACTTACAAAGAAAATTTTTCAAAATTTTATATCAATGTTTACTATTATTTTGAGAGCTCTTATTGACTAATTAAAAAGACTTATATGCTGGCTTGGCCATACGAATGCAGTATTATACCGTATGATCGAAAAAAACGGCGTCCAGTTCACTGGGAAATGACGATCAATGACATTTCCCATATAAATTTACATATAAAATGACAACGATCTTCATTTCATAGCCATCGCTGACGCCGTTTTTTTCGATCACACGGTACAATATGATCGAAACAAAATACGGCATCAGCGATGGCTATATGAAATGAAGATCCCTGTCAGTTTATATGTAAACGATCCATTCATTTCCATGCCAACTGGATGCCTTATTTTCGATCATAGGGTATTTAAGCAAATATTTGACCACCAAGAAAAATTGTTCGAAAACAAGTTTTATAAAGTAATTATCTTGTTATAACCAGAGTATTTATGCTTTAAAATCTCTAAATATTCAATAAGTATCTAAAGTTTTCAATAAATGAGCCCTGTAAATGTGTAAAAATTAAGTTATGAAAATTGGTAATTTTTGTGAAGTCACCAGTCTGAGAAAACTATGGTTATTGACTAAAAAATAGAATATTGTTATTAGGAGTAAAAATGTCACTTTTTGTGACGAGGCTGTACGTTTGCCATACAGCCGAGGCACAAAAAGTGATCTTTGCTCCGATGAATAGAACATGCTATTTTTTTTCAAACGCCACAAGTAATTTTTTAAAAAAATTAAAACGTTTCATATAATATAAAATGATTTAAAAGTAATACCCTATACCCTGTAAGTAATTATATATCGAAAAACTATGGTTTCGCTCGTTGAATTTGACAATTTATGCCAGTTTAGATAATATTTTCGTACTTTTGTGCTTAGTTAAAATGACTCTTTTATATTGTTAATCACGTAGCAAAAATTAATACTTTTGTGACACTTGAAAAAAGTATATTATGAAAATATGCCAGTTTTGGATTTATGAGTATGTTACTAGATATAAGCAAAGAATAATAATTATCCACCAGAAAAATATTTTCAAAACAAGGGTTCGACAAATCATTTTTTTGCAACACCAGAGAATTTAAACTGTGAAATATCTAAAAAAAATGTAAAAAGCCAAAAACAGTCAATTTTAAACTTTTTTCTTTCAAATAGTGGAGAAAATTGTCCATTTTGGTCAAGTTACTGATTAAGACACAACCTACAGTGTGAGCATTAAAAATGCAAATATTTTCACGGCTTGTAGATCTCGGTAAAAGAAATATATTTTCTCTTTGTCGTTTCTCAAATAAGTGGAGATATTTTACTTTCAAAATTTGAAAAATAAAATAATATGTTGAAATGTTAAAAATCACTGGATTTTTTATGTAATTTCGTTCCTCTAAATTTAATCTAATACCTATGTTGCCATATTAACAAGATATTATGTTTTTTACCAAACAAATTAAAAAAAAATCGAAAAATACAATTATTTTTTTCGAAAAAAAAAATTCGTAGACCACCTTAAGGATATTTACATATTTATTAATTTTATATTGCAACTTTTAACAAGTTAAAAATTATTCAAAAACAGGTGTTAAAAAATTGATTTTGTAATAAAACCGCACCGCTTTATTATTTAGAAATATACCGGGTGCGTCTCAAAAGTGGCTCACCCCTGTAACTTTTTAATTTTTTCATCTAAAAAGACGAGATTTGGTATGTTAGTATATGACATAAATTATAATTGATTGACTTTGTTCAATTGTTTTAGGTCACTTCCTGTTTCACCGGAAATTACTACAATTTTATTTTTAAATGGTATATCCTCGGTATTTTTTTACTTTATTCGATAGAATAAACAACTCTGAATAGAATAACGTATCATATGTCAACTATGTCAACTTTTGACATTTTGGAATATGGTTTATTTGCAATTATAACATGCGGTTCATAATTTGCTGTTCATTGTGGTTCATGCGGTTCATTTTTTCAAAATTTGACTCGAAATACCTAGTGTGTGGTATCAAATTATTCGTAAAAAATGCTTTTTCCAAATATACTAATAAGCCACCCTAGTTCCATTTGAAAAAAATGAGATATGTTTAAAACTACGATTTGGGCACCTTTTAACCGGCCAGGACAAAACACTAAACACATTAGACGATCAAATATATTTTTCCAAGGCTTCTTGATTAAGAATCAGTGTTTTTAACATAGCAATGGCACTCTAGGCACTCTCTTCAAATTTAAAATATGATTTTATATTAAGCGAGTATGTCAAAAATTGACATATGATATGTCATTCTATTCAGAATATCATTTTCTATCGAATAAAGTAAAAAAAATGCCGAAGGTGCTATTTAAAAATCAAAAAGTGTAGTCGTTTCCGGTGAAACCGGAAGTGACCAAAAACAATTGAATACGTCCATCAATCTCATAGCAAATCTTGTTTTTTTATCTGAAAAAAAAAGAAAAAATATATAGGGGTGAGTCACTTTTGAGACGCACCCGCTACAATACAGAATACAGTTTTCATAATTTTATCTCTATGTTTACTATTTTTCTAAGCACATTGAAAATATATTTAAAAAAACAGCTAAAATGGTCAATTTTTCCACCTGCTCCAGCTTATTTAAAATATTGAAAATTTACTGTAATACAAAAAGTATTCTCTAATACGAAATAAATTTAGCAAAACAAATCGTTTACTGGTTCATTTGCTATTTTTAATTCACTTTTTATTGTATAAGGGTACTCATGGAAATTTTAAATATAAATACAAGATGCGGTTTGTTCATGGTTCATCTTCGGTAAAATGGCGAATGCATTGTATCTGTGCATTAAAATTCCGTAACACAAAATAGCTTAAGCAACTGTTAACTTCAAAGAAGTAACAGTTGTTTTGAAAACAATAGTGTGTGTTCATCACGTGCAAGATTTGAACCGAAATAAATATAGGTCTCAATCGGCCTTATAAAAATAATAATGGACGACAGACAACAACAAATGAATAATGATGTTAAACGTACAAGGAAAATATTTTCTAGTGGAATATATAAACAAGAAACGGCATTTAAGAAACAGTAATACATCAATGATGAGTGATATTTGATAACAATATTGTTCTTAAAGAAAATATGTCAATGTCGTTATTGTAATTATTGACCTGGGATGGTACTACAACAATATCGCTCAAAAAGAAGTCTTCAAAAAATCAATTTTCTCATAAAATCAAATCGTATAATAGTGGAGTGCTTTAAGCCCTTATGGGATACAAACCTCGGGATTCATTTACTGTGAGCGAATTTTTATAAAACTTTTTGCATGGTATTGTTAATAAGATAAATATATTACAAAGTTTACCCATTTAAATTCGTTCCTTTCACTTTAGTATTTAAATAAACACACATATACAAATGCATACATACAAGATGGCTCCGTATTTGGCAAAAGATCTGTATCAGGATTCCTATTTGAGATTTTTACTCCAAACCTTTTGCAAAATATGTGTTTAATGGTAGTTCACATTTCAAAAATATTTTTATAGATATACAGGGTCAAATATATCTATATTTGTTTAGTTCAGTGAATTTGCTATAAAATTCCGGTTCCAAAAATACCTTAATATCATAGAGTATACTAAGTGGTTTTTGAATTATAACCACAACCATGAGGACGTCAATGTAGACGTCCAGGAACCTTCGTATGAGAACTTCTAATCGAGACGATCGACTTATTGTAAGTTTATCGCTAAGGAACCACCGTTTGCCAGCTTTTCAAATTGATAATGAATTGCACTTAAGAAACGTACATATTAACTAACGGACTATAAGAAGAAGATTATATAAAGCAAATCTTATGCTTCGGGACCAGAACTTACTAGATGTGTTGACTGTTGGTCTGTGTGTTTTGGCCCAAAAGCAAAGGCATAGTCTCAATGTAAAAATTACGAATAAATGTTAGTGTCTTCTTCAAAAGTGAATATTTCTAACAAAAATAAAGCTAAATGAGATGAACCAAAAAACAAACCATCGAGAAAGGATGTATCTAAATAAATGATTTTTTGATAAAATTTTTGATAACATTTTTGGTTTGACATTTTTGATAAAATGATTTTTAAATTTCTTGCGGCTTTTCCATATTCCACAGGGTGTTTCAAACTTTCACCAAAATATCAACATTTTGTTTTCCCTCGTATAATTAACAGATGGGAAGTTTCATTTTTAATTTAGAAAAAGATACCAAAAAGTCAAATAATTTGGCTTTAACAAACTTAAAACAAAATATATTAACCTTTAAAAAACATCAAACTTTTAAGGTGTCCATTTTTCGTGCCGGTGAATGTACATATTTTAAAAACTATACATTTTAGTCATATACTTTTCTAATGAATAAAACCTTTATTTTTTTACTAGAATCCAAAAATCAATAATTAATATATTATAGGGTGTTCTCTTACAAAAAAAAATAACTTTGATGTGTAACTTTTTTTGGGAACACGCTGTAGAACTCTACATAATTTTAGAAAATGCTTTAATTGAGTTACATAAGCTCACAACATTTCACTTCAATAAAAACTTTTGTTCTCCTTGCGAAAACCGCGTCGTATATGTCACGCCACCCTGTTTAATTCGATTTCAATCAAAATTTCAATAATTAGAATACGAGTATAAGCAAAATATACTAAAATAAAAAATTAAAAGCAACAAAAAAAATTTAGTATTTTATCTATAAAACACAATACAGAAGGTTTCACATTAATACATTCATAGTAATTGAGTTCCGAGGTAAAAGTCTCTGGGCACTCCACTATAAGTAGTGATGAGCAAATCCAAAACCAAGACCAAGATTTACCTTGGTCTTAGGCGTGCATATAAGAAGTGGTATTGGTCTTTGTCTTGCTGCAAGATCCAAAAACCCTTGCAGGTGTTGCAGGTCTTGCAGTTTACATTTCTACTGAAGGTAAATTCTACGTGGAAAATGTTTTAAAAAATAGTTTTTCAAGTAACTTAAAGTAATTAACTACTACTAAAGTTAACCCAACCTAACCTACCTAAATTTTTTTCCAAATGTTGAAATTTTCAATATTTTATAACTATGTTTACTATTTTTTGTGAGCTCTAAAAATGTGTAAAGAAAAGAACAAATATAATCAATTTTTCTACTTTTTTCCATACATATAATTATGAAAACTTGCGATTTTGGTCAAGTTATTCGTTTTAATAAAACTACTGTTATTCGGTTATTAAAAGAAGTGGATTATAAAAATATAAGCCGGTTTAGCTTTAAAGGGCTTTAAAAATACTGTACCAAAGCAAAAGAAAGCGAAGATTAAGCCAACCTAAAAAATGGTTCAAACACAAGGGTTCAGAAAAACTTTTTTTTAGACGTGTCAAAAGTATTAATTTTTGCGACGTGATTGACAATATAGAAAATTGATTTTAACGTGATAAGGCATAAAAAATGATAATGCATAAAAGTAAAGCTCTACTACTCGCAAGCATAAAAGTACAAAAATATATTAAACTGACAAAAAGTGAGTTACTGAAATGTAACATAAAAATATCTATTCAAATTAAACAAATTAAATTTAACATTTGCTTTTCTCAGAAAGCAAGTATTGCTACAGATTGGCCCCTAACTATATTTTTTTGAATTAAATGGGGGCAAAATAATTTTTAAATGCAATTTGCCTTAATACATAATTTTAAAATAAATAAAAAATAATTATTTAAATTAAATAAATAAAATTTAATATTTTTATTTCTCGAAAAGCAAGTAGGTACCTACACCAGTGGGGCAATACAGGGCCCGGCAATAATGCGTCGCGCATCTGCAGCTTCTATGTATAATAAAAAAACTTAGGAATTTTGTAGACCGAAAGTATATCTGGATGTATTTCAGGAAAATAATAAAATTTCTACAGGGTGGCTCAAAAAAGGGGGAGTGGATCGCGATAATTTTTTTTTAAATGGAACACCCTGTATATCATTGCACTTTTGGGCTTCCTTTCTGATCATTTTATATATCCTAAAATATTGAAATATTGAAAAGAGATGCCCTGAAATCAAAAATATACTAGGTATATTTACTATAGTTGGTCTGTACTTACTTTGGTAATGTAATATTGTAATCTTAAACCATATAGGGTGTTTAAAATTCTATATTTTTCTCTATAAAAATACATCAAATTTTCTACAAATAGGTAGTTTACTTTCTTAAATTTATAAGCATATTTTTTATTTTTAATTTATAACCATTTTGTGCATTGAAAGCACTGAAAATGTGCACATCATTAATAGATATTTACAAAAATTTATAACAATATTGACTGCGATTATACATAAAATGAACGATAAACCCCTGAACTCACGATTAAAATTATTACTATGCCCTGGTATTTAAAGATTGGCGTTGCTATGCAAATTATAGCTCTGATATATAGAAACATACAGAATTTTATCTGTTTACATTCCAACACACACCTGATAATGTCGATGGTACGTTCCACACATAGGTAAAACAGTACCACTCCTAAATTGAAGATTACGTACCAACAGTCCCTCGTAACTCCTCATTTCAGGTCGTTAGTCGTTTTACCACGGTTTTAACAGTAGTGACGGTACCATAGCACAACTTGGTACGAGCTACGATCATGGCTGACAGTTTTTTATATCGCTAAATGCCTGTGACAAGCGACAGACTACAATAGAACATCCTTTTTCGATAGATAGGTTCACTGAAAGTGTCTTCCTCGGTACTAGAATTAGTATAGGTACTGATAGGTGCAACTTTAGTCGTACTTTCAAGTAAGTTAATAGATTGATAGAACTAAGTCTTAAGTGGGACCGGTGTGCAGACGTAGAAATGAATGGTACTGCTAAAATAGCCGATAGAAATAAATTTGGATCTAAAACAAGGTACTGTAAAATATGTAACATCAAAATAAGCAGAAATAACATTTAAAAAATCAAAGTTGTGCAAAAAATAAAGTTTATAAAAAAGATTTTAACTGGGCCATTTCACAAATAATTCAGTATATTCCAAGTATAAAAGAATGAGTAGTACTTTAGGAAGTAGTACTATTAACTGTAATTTTATTATATAAGTTGATGAGAACACAAATTGAATTGTTATTAGGCCTTATGTAGTAAAGTGTTGGATGTCATTCTATATTTCATCAATCTCAACTGACATACTTTTAAAAAACTATAGGTGAAAGAGCTAAGATTACCGTTCAAAAATCTAAAAAAACCATGATAAACTTCTATTTTATTAATTTTGCATAGATTAGTTTTAAACCACTGCGTGAGTACCATGGAGTACTGATCCAGAGTAAAAATGTACGAAATTACTAATAAATAAAAAAACATTATTTCAGTATTTGCAATTATTTTAATTTGTATTACGAAAACGCTAATAATAATTCTAATAGTACCATTAAAAAACGTTTGAGATTTGTGTATACATTATTTGATGTCAAATAATTTTAGTTACATTTGTTATTGTATAAGCAAGCTATTTCTTCATTCAAATTTGCATACTTCAACATAGTACCTAACCTGTGGTACCAAGTTAAATGCGTTTAAAATTTAATAAGTGTCGCATTGGAAGTACGCTTCAGTGTCCTATTTCTCAAGAAAATTTCACTTAAAATTATTACACGTACATTATTACACAAAGTTAAAAAACAAATTAAAAATAAACCATGAAAAAAAAAACAAATTGCAATAAATAACAATACAAATACTGTAAGATCGACGGCGTCAGCGATGGCTATGAAATGAAGATCGCTGTCATTTTATATGTAATGATGTTCATTTTCAAGCCAACTGGACGCCGTTTTTTTTTTCGATCATACGGTATAATCATAACTGGAAATGCTAAATGAAAACGGACACCGAAACTGAAAACTTAATAAAAAAAATAAAATAGACTAAAAAGTCCGAGGTAATAATTGTATCTCACAAATCCTCACGATTATGAATTCCATTAAAACTGTAGTTATATTTTAATGTATGTTATGTGAACATGAAACTAACTTCAATACAATGGATGCTTTTCCTCTAGCATCTCGAATGAGGAAATCCGGTCTAGTACCGCCTATATATACAAGGTGTTCCCGGTTCAGCTTGAATTTGAAGTTTATAGAAGTTTACATAATACACTCAGATGCAAAAAAAGCAACGCAAATTTTTTTCGTCAAGTTTAAAGTGTTATATTTTTTTACTTTTAGCCCTATTTTCATGATTTTTTTAGGAAACTGTATATTAACCCTCTATAATAAGCCAAATACTAAAGTTTTGTATAAACTTTAGTAAAAAATACTAATAGTACAAAACTAATAGTAAAAATACTAAAATTTTGTATAAACTTTAGTATTTGGCTTATTATACAGGGTTAATTAAAGGGTTGTGTTTTTACAACCCTAATTTTAAAACACTCTGTGTAATAATTTCGTGAGTAACTTTTCCTAAAAATGCCGGGTCCAGACCAAGCAGACAAAACAACGACAAGACAGAAATATTTATGTTTTACGACTAAGTTGTGACAAATCCAATACATTTCTGCGACATTTTTGTCTCATTTTTGCTTTGTTTCAAAATTCGGAGACTTTTCAATGTACCGTCTCGAGTCGGTAAAGATCAAAGTGTCTGTTTTGTTCGTATATTTTACAAGTTGTCGGCGCAGTGTGGTTGGCGTGCGCTGCCAACAGTAGGAGACCAGTGAAATCACACATGGTTAATAAAACTCATTCGCAACAACTAAACTTTTACTTTGTTGTACTTTTGTCCTTGCGGTGTGGACAATTTGTCATAGGTTTGTCTTGTTTTTGTCTCAAAATCGTGTTTACTTTTTGTCGCCTTGGTCTGGACCCGGCATTAAATCAGAACCATGTCTCCTGAACATTTTGTTCACTCATATCAAAACATGCCTTGGTTAATTTTTAAGAGCGAGATGAACTTGCCATCAACAATTTTTTCAACTGTCAACTGTCACTTACTTTATGATGTTATTTTTTAATATCACGGGGTGGTTTTGGTGACTATTGTTGTCAGGGGCTGATATAGAAATTTATTTTAGGGGGGGTCCAAATAAAAAAGTAATGTAGAATATGCTTTTTAGTGCGCCATTTTAAACCCAAAAGTATCCGCCACTGATTGTCGTATTGTCATATCGACACTGGTTAGAACTCTGTATTAAAGTTTAAAAAACGTTAAAAAGTAACGATACAGGCTTGGTTTTAATAAATATTAATAACACTAACTTTTCTAGGATATTAAAAAAAACGTATGCCTTCCCCAGCTGTTATAACTGTCTGAGACGTCGGTTCTCGGTTCATACTGTTAATAAGCTGCAACTATATTTTGTTATGTTTTCCCATTCTTGTTCTAGAAGTCAAGGATCAAGATTCAAAGGGACCAAGCGAATATTCATAATTTCGGCCATCTTCAACAAGATCAATGACTTTTGAACAATCTTCGACACTAAGAACCATATTCAATCGTACACAATAATAATCACCAAAATTATGAAGAATAACATCAAAAAGTAACGATAATTGAAAAAATTGCAAAATATTTGTTGCAAGTTCATTCTGCTCTTAAAAATTAACTACGGTATGTGTTCAGGAAACATGGTTCTGACCGAAAAATAATGTTTTAGGAAAATTTTGTGTTTTACAGAAGTTGAGAAAAAAACAACTCTTCGATTAACCTTCTATAATAAGTCAAATACTAAAGTTTATAATAAACTGAGTTTACGAATAATTAAAGTTGATATATTTATATACAGTTTGCTATTAATTGAGCGGTCGCATTGTATGAAATGCATGTGCAGAAACTATTTCTAATACAATCTCAACTAGGGACACCCTATATAGGTTGGCGTTTCTAAGAATGCGATTGTTGCTTATTCAACCTTGTGTTATTGACTCTCTTCCTCTCTCTCTCTCTTATTTTCTCAGTTATGTGATTCTATTCAAGATTCGAGATATCAAAATAGTTGAACAACAGGTATCGAAGAATCTATTATTATTCTTTTTGATTAACTTATATGCAAGGTTAGATGAACATTTCTGAATTTATTTTAGAATGTCTACACTGCTTAAGTGGGCTCAGAACACTCAAGGAAAACTGAGCAGTAACAAGAACAGTAACAGCTCTGAGAAAAAATGGATTCATTCTCCGGAATCATTACAGAAAGGTCACATAGCTTACTTGGTGAAATTTTTAGGAAACACAATGGTAGATGAGCCAAAAGGTACATAGATATATAAATATTGAAACTTCTATTTTTTTATAAAAATACTTAAATTATCAAATTATAACAAAAACACTTGTTTCAGAGGATGTAACCATCCCCGTTGTCAGAAGCCTAAAATAATTTTGAATATCTTTTTTTTTCTTAAAATATAATCATTTCTATTTCCAAAATATCTCCAAAATTATAAAACCGCCAATTATCAATGATTCTTTGGAGGCATTTTATAATAATGTATTCTTCAAATTTAATAATACTAAAATAGTCATAGATGATTGGTGGAATATGTGTGAATCAAAAATTGATGTTATATATTCTCCGCTAGCTATTTCAAATTGTAAATACGCCATTTTATATAAAACATAAATACTATCGTTGATTGGAGATTGAAGAAATGGGGTATATATGCATCCTAATGGGCGAACTCGTGACAAGACTGATTTGACTTCCCCTTACTTGTAAAGTGCTGTACGGTGGTGCAGCCAACGCATACTTATTTTTTTCTAATTCGACCAGCGAAAGCATTTAGAAAACGGTGTTGAACTGAAAGCGACAGCGTTGCCAAATTAAAAGGTGTGATATCTGTAATACATTTGACGAAAATACCTGAAAAAAGTCGTATAGTTGGCTTGGGCTTGAAAATGACGATTATTGACATTTACCATAATATTTTACAAAATATGAAATAACAGCGATCTTCATTTCCAAGCCAACTTTGACGCCGTTGTTTGTTTAATCATATAATATTCTATTAAATTGTTTAATGATACAAAATCCATATTTTAACTTACTGTACCCAAAATGCGTAATCTTCGGATTAATCCATAGTTCTGGCAATACTGTCTCCGGCCACCGCTCACTCTGTAGACGAAAAGCAAAACTACGGTAGATTATTCTTTATCCGCTGCGCTATAAAACAGCGCACAGCGGCACAGAGCTAAACTACATTTTGGACAGGCTGACGGTAACGCCAGCTACATCTCGGACATGTTTTGTGCCACGCAATCGCCCATAAGGTTGCGCATCTTCTTATTTCTTCAATCAACGCTGATATGCACATGAACATTAAATATGGTTTCCATAGGTACGGCCGGATTTACCTGGTCCGATTTTTTAAGGTGCATGCCCTGATTGGTCCGGTCGGAAATTAAAAAAAGGTCCGGGAAACATAAACATATCAGCTTTCAGATCTTACTTATCCAGAATTTTCAAAAACTTGTATGGAAACCCTAACAATAGATAAAATATTTTTTTCCAAACGTCACAAAAGTATTAATTTTTGCGACGTGATTTACAATATATAAAAAAGTCATTTTAACGCCTAAACATAAAAGTACGAAAATATATTATTAAATTAACATAAAGTGTCAAATTCAACGAGCGTAACCATATACAGGGTGGTCCGAACTGTATTTCGTAAAAAAGTAAATAAGTTCTTATAAATAGAGCGCGGATTTATATGCATTATAAAGCCTAAAATAAGCACTTAAAAAAGCCCAAAATATTTCGAAAATAAGCACATAAATATGCACGCAAATTTAAAAAAGCATGAAAAAAATAATAATTTTTATTAATTTAATATTTTTTAATAAACGAGCATTAAAAAAAAATATGCAGAACAACGTAAACTATATACTTATATGAGTACATCCATAAACTATACACTAAACTAAACTCTAATGAGTTATATACCTAATATTTTGTAATAAAAAATATTTAAATAACAAAAACAAATTAAATTAGGACTTAACCTAAATAAACTAATCATCGTTTTTAAATAAACAATAACTGTTTTTCGAAATTTTCTAGAGAAAATCCCCATTCTGCTTCGAAAAACTTCGTTCAACATCTACACCTGTAATCGGGGCATATTAAAATTTCGTAATTAAACTGCCATTAATAGGGAGATCTTCAACAATGCTTCCTTGAATAACATTTGCTATTTAACTTAAAAATCTATACCCTGTATTTTTATTTAAAACGTCAGTCTAGTCCCCCTAGTACTAGTCCATTCTAGTGGGTCTCGATTCTTCTCGAACGAATGAATCATTGTGGTGTCTATGCGATGTTCATTCTATGCGAAGGTCATCCGAGGGCGGGCCATATTGTGAGGTTAGGTCGAGTCCACACCGGCTCGCAACAATATGTTGCCGGGATACAGTTCGGACCATCCTGAATTACATACAAGGTTTGACTTTTAAATATTTTTATATTATTTGGAACGTTTGAAATTGTTTAAAAATCTATATATGGCGTTTGAAATAAAAATAGCATGCTCTATTCGGAGTACAAATGACTTTTTGTGCCTTGGCTGTATGTACAGTGTACAGGGTCGGTCAAATTCGACGCTTTTAAATGGAAACACCCTTTTCTATAGGAGATAGACAAAAACTAATGTCGGTGTCTGAGCTCAATTTTTGTCAAAAACATGATGGTGAAAACCGCATATCGATATCTGTTACCGTTTCGGAGTTACGGGGTGTTTTTCAAAAATATGCATTTTTAACAAATCGCTGTAACTTTTTTGCTGTGGAAAATTTTGTATTTTTATGAAAACATTTCCAAAGCAGCTTTTTACGTAGAATTTAATGGTTTAAGTATATTTTTTTTAAAATTAATAATTTAATAATTATCAACAGAAAATTTGATTTTTTATATGGGACACCCTGTATATTTTTAATTTATTGCAAATCATTTAAAATTACCTTTCCAAAAATATAATACACTTGATATGTTGCTCGATTCCTCTTCGAGATATAGAGTATATAAAAATTTGCCCGCTTTAAATAAGTAGGCTTTGAATGGCACAGGCTGTAATGCAAAAAAAATTCTAGCTGTGAGCATCTATTAAAACGAAAATAATATTTGCTATGAGAGATGCAGAATTTTACAACAATTTAAAATATATTTAACCAACATCAACACATTTAATACTATATCTAATAACAATAAAAATAAATAGCAAACCAAAACATGAGATTTTGCTACAGCAATTGTCGACCGTCTTCTGTTATGTTATGTTATGTTATGGACAGATGGGGCAGTTTTTGAACATTTCTCGCGGAATTCATTAACTCAGTAGGGGTGAAAGATACCCTCTCATAACTGTTAAGTATTTCTAATTCTTGTCTAGATTATACGGAAGAATAAGGAACCTTTATTCTTCCGGAAATATATCCATAGGATTAGATCCATGGGCACTAAGCCAGGCGGCCTCGACGGCCAACGGCTTGGATCTTGGTTAGCTATTCAATTATTCTTGAATTTGGCTGCAAAAATTGGCTGATAACTTCAGCGTTCAAAGGCGGTGCGTCGTCTTGCTGAAAAAATATATTTTCGAGTTCCATTAAGGGCATATCATTAATTAGGGGTCCAAAGCCTACTAGTTAAAAGTGGTGAACTTTTAAAAAGTCTGTATTTCGAAGAGGATTATAACAAAATATCAAGTGTGCTATATTTTTGGAAAGGTAATTTTAAATTCTTTTTAGTTAATTAAAAATATAGAGGGTGTCCCAAATAAAAAATCAATTTTTCTGTTGATAACGCTTAAATTAATAATTTAAAAAAAAATTATACTTAAACCATTAAATTCTAAGTAAAAAGGTGCTTTGGAAATGTTTTCATAAAAATACAAAATTTTCCATAGCAAAAAAAGTTACAGCGATTTGTTAAAAATGCACATTTTTGAAAAACACCCCGGAACTCCGAAACGGTAATAGATATTGATGTGCGGTTTTCACCATCCAATTTTTGATGAAAATTGAGATCCAGACACCGATATTAGTTTTCGTCTATCTCCTATAGAAAAAGGTGTTTCCATTTAAAACCGTGGAATTTGACCCACCCTGTACAGCCTCGCCGCAAGAAGTGTCATTTTTACTCCTAATAAAACAATATACTATTGTTTTGATTACTAGAATTGACGAATAAATATTGTAGGAATAGAAGTGATCAAAGAAGCGATAAGAAAATTGCGGTTTTCACAACAACTAAGGAAAAGCGAAACAGGGGCTAAAACTAAAAAGGTGGAACTTACAGTGAGCGTAGACGGAGTGGCTATTCAGGAACCCAGATCCCACAATATTCTACATCAGTTTCCCTTACATCAGATTTCGTACTGTGCAGATGACAAAGGCGAAAAAAACTTCTTTTCGTTCATCGCCAAACAGCAGAGTCAAGGTAAAAATGAACGATGGCCAGTATAACTGTATAGAGTATCCCAAATTCGAGATTCGCCATCGAAACTACACGAGAGACGAGGTCTGTTAAGTGAGGCTAAGAAGAGCGATTTGATGTTGATCAAAATACCAACTAAAAAGTTTAAAAATTCCGATTACTGCCGACGCAGGCGCCGCATGATGATTTCCGGAAATGATGATTTCGTTTTATTTTTTATGGATCTAACTGAAAGAGATAACAAAATAAATTTCGCATTTCTGTTGCTATTTTTTGGTGTTCAAGATGGTGTTATTAGATTTTTGGTAATGAGCATTGTTTTTATTCTGCTGCTTAGCTGCTGCCTAACAATTTAAAAAGAAATGCTGCTGTTAAAAAATTATCATAAAAATATATAACAATCTGACTTATATCTTTTATAAAGAGACTTAAATCTTTTTAATGACTTAAGTCTTTTCTAAAAAGATTTTTAAATCTTTTTTTATTTGAGAATAAAAGATTTAAATCACAAGACATTTTGAAAAAGACTTAAATTTTAAGTCTTAAGTCAGCTTTCGAAAAATGACTTAAAATCAAATGACTTGAGTCATTAAAATGATTTAAGTCAAAAAAAGACTTAAGTTTTTTGTGAGCTTGCAGCTCTGAGCCCAATGATGAGGTTCGAATTTGGGACAGTCAAACTGAAAAAAGATTGAAAAAGATGCAAAAATGTTATTTTTAGTTTATATTACGAAACAAATAGATACAGGCTATATCGTGTGGTGCATCGGGGTATAGGAAATCCCATGTAAATTTTGAAAAGGTCAGATATATTATCTCACCAGATGATTTAATGCAAAAATTGTATTAGACTTTTTTGAAAAGGCGTTAAAATTATACTTTCGTCTGGAATTTCGTTTTATTTGGAATAGGTATCTAAAAGTTATTTGCAAAAATCTACCTTCAAATTACTAAAAATGTATAATACAGCCCAGAGAAAGCTACAATTAAAATACTAGCAAAAATATGATTTTGTCATTGTCAATTCAATGTCACATTTTGTTAACAAGAAATTATGTGGTTTGGAAAGGGTGGTTAATTTTTTAATTGTAATGATCATCTACAAAGAATTAGTTGAACTGATAATAGTTTTGTGGTATATGACTTGTTTGCTGTTCATTACTCGATCAGTCGTAGGCCTCGCTCATACCACATAATTCATTCACAATAATTTAACAAATAAAAGAAATATTTGTAACTAAAGGGACTTCACAATCAAACCATACCCAAAATACTTAATTGTAAAATTCACGTCTCAGAATACAAAGCTGTTTAGGGGGGAATCTTTAGCATTCAACAGAGATGTCATTTTCAGTTCATCTAAATTTTTGTATTTAATATGCCCATAAAGACGGTTTTTCAGTGTGCTTCACTGGAAGAAGTCCTTGGGCGAAAGATCCAGTGGTCTTTTACTACTGTATCCCCAGTAGAGGGAGTCAATTTTTTTTCAGAGGGAGAAACAATTTCAGAGGGAGAAAAATTTCGGTCATTGTTGTTTCTTCCTGTTCAATTATTTTTGTCTTCTCACTTCCATGTGCTTAATACAGTGCCTTTAGTTTCAAACCTCTTGTTTATTCTTTAAGCTGTTGATTTATTCGGTTTAGGCTTCCCGGAGACTGAGCTGCGAACATATCTAACACAGTGGGAATACTATTTCCAGTAAAATGCCATTTAATATAAATTCTTATAATTTGAATTTTTGACAAATGACAAAATCAAATTTTTGGTAGTATTTTAATTGTATCGTTCTCTGGGCCGTATATTATAAATTTTACTAATTTGAAGGTAGATTTTTGCAAATAACTTTTAAATTACTATTCCATATGAAACGAAATTTCAGATAAAGATAAAATTTTAACGCTTCTTCAAAAAAGTCTATACAACTTTTGCATTATTATTTACAATTATCTGGGGAGATAATATTCGACCTTTTCAAAACTTACATGGAATTTCCTATGTCCCGTGTTCCGATGCACCACACGGTATAATTATTATACGTATATAATGATTTATATTTTTCTAGATGGAGATGCCGAAGATAAACACGAATGCTTCGTATTCATCTCCGAAAAACTGGCAGAAGAAATAACCTTAACCATAGGCCAGGCTTTCGAGCTGGCCTACAAAAGGTTCTTGGAAACTTCTGGTAAAGATTTAGAAGCCCAAAGGCGCGCGATGATCGTCCAGCAAAAAATAAAAAAACTGGAGCAAGATGTAAAAGTGTACCGGCAAAGATTACAGGATATCAGTCAGTTTCCTGGCATAAAACCGGAGCTTGATCAGTATTTGAAGAGAAAACAGCTGAGAAATATATTAGAAATAGGCGGTTCCGTGAATAATAACGATTCTATACAGGATCAATCAAGTTCAAAGAAGGAAACCCACGAATTCTTGGATTTGAATGACATGAACGGATCAGGTAATGAAAAACCTAATTAATGGGGTCATTATTTTAAAATAAATACCAGAAATTATCTGAAAATAAAGAAGTAATATTTTTAGCGCCTACAGTTCCTCAGGTACCACCAAGGGAACCTCCAACAGTAGGAACCAGACTCGAAGGACTTTTACTAAATGAACTGGAACATGACAACGACTTTGATCCAAGATCTTTTGAAAATAACACTAATTTTCCATCAAGTCCTCCACCATTAAGTAAGTAGACATGGCGTGCTTTTAACGAGATTTTTAAAAGCAAATAAGGCAATAAAAAAGTAACCGTCAACTTACCTGGTAATATTACAGCATGTTAATTACTTCCTGTGCACAAGGAATACACATAACACTTTTACTTTTAGTACCGTTTTAATTTTACTTTAATTTTTGCAATAAATACTAATAAAATGACTTTTTTTTATTAATCGGTAGCCACCTGTCGACAATTTGTTAGTATTAATTAATTGAACTGAACAAATTCAAAGGTATTTTTCTGGTTGCCTATATCTTAACAAAGGAAACTCATAGATATTATTGTTAAGATTTTTTATTATTGTTAATGTTAATAATCATTATTCATGCATTTCATAGTAATTACGGTTACTGCATACCAGATATGCCAACGAACGGTATTTATAACATCATCAAGTACTGTTGTAATAATATTCATTAAAAACATGTAATGATGCTGAATAATTTTTAGTTGCTCCGCCGCCTAAACCAGCAAAAAGAAACAATATTTCAATAAATTTAAACAATGATTTAAGTATACCGTCTCAAATTACTCCGTCCACTCCCAGTATTACTACACCTACCAGGTATTTTAATATGAATGATTATTATTTGAAGATAAGTAATGAATAAATGATTTTTTTCAGTGCAACCAGTGCCAAAATATTAGATCCTTTTGAAATGGGTGACTTTTCCACAACTTCGGCTACTCCACAGGATATAGAGAATGCTATAGGTCTTTTGGATAAAAGAATAATGGAGATGAAAGTATGTTGTTTCTCGTCAGTTAAAAATTAAATTTAAAATTAATCCAACAAAATAATTTTGTTTTTAGACTGGTTTTAGTCGAGGAATAAGCTTTGGTAATGATGATTTCTCTCTGGACAACTTAGATCCACTAAAAAATTGAAAAATGAAACTCAGGAATCAATTCGAACAAATTCTTATTGTGATTTCATCTTTAGACTAGCAAAAATATACGATATCTTTATATAAATTGTTATTAAGTTATGTATATCATCATCAGAACACTATTTTTCTATGTATTTGTAAATAAGAGGTTTATTGCTTATTTTGTTACGAATTTTCATAAAACTAATAATAAAAAGAAAATTTAATACAACAGTGCTTTTATTAATATCTGAAATTGTATATAATATTAAAACTTCAAGTAGTGACTAGAAAAAGACTAAAATAGACTGCAAAATATTGTACTAGATATCATTATGGTCTTGTAAATCGCTTAAGGAACAAGAACTTTTTTCTTCCAAAAGATCAGTTTTTATTTTAGTTTTATCAATTTCTTTTGATAAAAACTCCAAATCATTTAAAGCTTTAGCATAAGACAGTTTTGTTTGAGACTTAAAGTGCTCTAATTTAGATGCCTCTTCTTCTATTTGTTTATAATATGATTTTAATTCAAAATATGGCCTAAAACTGATATATTACCTTACCAATTATTAAGGAACTTTAAGCTTACCTAAAAATTAGTTCCTGCTGTGACATAAGGTTGCTAAATTTCAGTAACGATCTTCTTATTGATAAGCTAAAAGTACCGAATATTATTAAAAATATACCTCATTTTGTATTATCAAATCTACATACTTGCTTTTCATCATTTGTTCCTGCAGTTGATTGTTTAATTTATTAATCTTTATTTGTCTTGGTTCGTCAGGTAGTGGTTCAATTAATTTAACAGATTCAAGCTGATATTCACTGCTCTTCTTTAAAATATGTTGACACATATCTAAGCACATACGAACCTTTGATTCTAATAAAGAAAGACATGAAGTACTGTCTGATATGAGATCTCTGAAAGAGTTATAGGCTTCCTCTGCTTCAAATTCATATTTATGTAAGTCGGCAAGGGCTTCATTGGTATAATTTTGGCTGCTCATAGAGTTGTTTTTTACTTGGAAGAAAATAAAAAATAAAGGGCTATCAACGCTATGAACACATTAATTTCATTGGCACGTTAATAAAACATAACTCAAATTTTACTTATAACTTCATTTTATATCATTGTGCTTTATAACTGAAAATAAGATATAGGAATTTAATAAAATAAAACAAGAAACAAGTATAATTTTGATTTGAGGTTAACTTTTGGCCACTTTGTGTTGGCCACTCTGGTTGGCCACTTTTGGCTTTAAGAGTTTAGGCAACTGAAAAAACTTGGCGGTTATTATTTAAATTTATTAATTGCAGTGTTTAAATCCAAAAACTATCTATTATTAACAGTTAATTGTTAAACATGATTTGATATAATTATATTTTATTAATTTTTTTATCAACAATCAACTAGATTGCGTTTTTATGTTTTCTGTAAAGTAATTTAAAATATTAAGATATATAATTTTTTTCGGCAATTGAAAAATAATTATATATATAAAAGATAAAAACATATGATAATTAAATATTCGTGTCTTCGTATAGATCAGGTTATTAAGGAATTTTATAGAGTATTTAATAGCTTTGTTTAAAGATGACAACATGTAGTTTTATTGTTGTTAGCTAATTAAATATCGTGAAAAAAAATGGGAGAGAAAATACCTATCATTTTTAACATTAAAACTTAAACGAGTAACATTTCTATTAAGCAATAGATAATTATGGGTAAAACTGAAAACGTAAATTAGACAGGGTCGGGGCACACTAATGTTAAAAAAGAATAAATTTTTATACAAAATATTTCATTTAATTGACACATTTGACTAAAATTGGTGCATTTGCTAAAATTAGATATCAATCGATAGATCAAGTTTAAGCACGTATAGCCGCCCATACTAAAATATGTTAATAAAAAGTTCAAAAAGGCAGTTCTTTTAGTTTCAAAGTACTCAAAGGAAAATTTTCAATTTTTTTTTATCTCAAAAACTGCGACTTGATGACTGATTTTGATGTTATTACAAATTTTGTTGCAAATATTATTCCTAATCTTAAATTGAAAACCGCGTTTCGCTAGCTACTGTAATTTTGGAGTTACGATATTTTAAAATTTTAACCTCCTCCCATACCCCCTTACCAACCCCCCACCTCCACCAAAAACTAATGGCCAGATTCTCGGGTGCCACACTATTTTTTTGCCAAATTTGGTTAACCCAAATAACTCATTTTGAGTGAAATTAAAAAGACACTTTTTTTGCCGATCTTAATAGCCTACCACACCTATTGGTGTGGACTAAAAAACATTGGCGACAACCACCGTATATACGGAAAAAAAACGGCGCCCAGTTTTGGCTTGGAGAGAAACATCGATGACATTTTTCGATCATATTTATCAAATAAAATTGAAACGAATTTAAAATATACAAAAATTTTGTATATTAAAAAAATATCTTCTCAAAAAATCGACAATTTGATCAGGTATCGAGAGATTCATCAATACTAAATTCTATTAAATCAAAATATTTTTTTTATTATACAGGGTGGCGCACCTCATTCGCCTCGGTTGATTATACGAAATCGGAAAGAAGTAGAAACAAAATATTTCATGAATATATGTGGGAAGACAATGTGCATAATTTAAAATTATTTTCAAATATACAGGGTCGTGTGTCAGAACTAAGATCCATACCAAAATTAGATCTTTTCTTATGGCACATCCGCTATTTTATTTAATTTTTTGATTGTTGGGCATAAAATAAGGCGTTTATTATAAGGATTGGAATTGGATCTTTAAATGCTTTGGTTTTTGACTAAATTGTTTTTGATATTTAAATATGGATGCTATAATAAAAAAAATTGTCAACACTTGTGTTGGGTGTTTATAACTGTCAATTATAAACACACTGTACATTACTTTTCAAAGTTAATTCTTGTGCTGACTTTGAAGCCAGAGAAATAAACTTTACTAAAAAAAATATTGCTTCCTTAAATGTGTACAGGGGTATCAAAAATTGTTGGTCTATTTTAAATATTTATTTTACAAAAAAAACTTCGCTATTTTTAAATGCAACACTATGTATTTTTTAAAACAAGTCGAAGCAGATTTAAGTGCTCTTTTAAACTATATTAGGGTTTCCTATACCTATCTGGCTCAGATTTTGAATAAAAAGCGATTTTTCATTAAAATGGCAATCAAGATGGCTGGTTTCGTCATGGCAATTTGCTAATAACAGTTAGTAGCTATTTTCAAAATCGACATTAGTTTATTGATTTTATTTAAATTTATAACAGTTTACTTTTATTTAATTTACCTACCATCTATACTATTATATAAAATCCTTAAGTGACTGGCATACTGATTAATCACGATCCTGCTCAAACCACTCAACGAAAGAAGCTCAATTTTGGCATACAGGTTGATTCTAGGGTGTAGAGATTCGATAAGAAGGGATTTTTCGAAACTCGAATTCTAAGAGGGTGAAACTATCCCTCAAATATTAAAATATATTTTATTTAAAAACCGGTGAGTTTTTCGGAAAAACTCTTAAACACGTATAAACTCTTAAACACGAAAAAACTCTTAAACATGTATATTTTATTTTGTTGTTTTACATATTTTAAGATTTTTTATAAATTTATACTGGGTATTTCATAAAATATAACCATTGATCGAGTAATCACGATTCTGCTTAAACTGCTTGACGTTTAAAGCTGATTTTTGGTAAACGGATTGACTGTGGGGTGTAGAGGTTCGATAAGGAGGGGTTTCTCAAATTTCAAATTCCAAGAGGGCGAAAACGCCCCTCAAATATTACATTATTTGTTATTTAAAAAATGGTTAGTCTTTCGAGAAAACGCTTGGACAAGCATAATTTATTTGTTTTTTTTACATATTTTGAATTTTTTTAAAAAATCATACAGGGTGTTCCAAAAAGTTGGGTAATTTCTTAACCACGATTCTGCTTAAACTGCTTGACGTAAAAAGCTTATTTTTGGCAAACGAATTTTTCGAAAGTCAAATTCCAACGAGATGAAACTAACTCTCAAACATTACCAAACATTACCAAGTTATATAATAATATAGCCATATTGTTTTTTCTCATGCTGACATAAATGTGAGAAAATTTTATCCAGTTTGTATGGTAATGGAAATTCTTGCTTTGCTTTATCATCACTATTACAAATGATTAATTCAACGCGAACGCTGATACACGCTAGTAGTTTAATAAGTAAGTATTTATTATTTTATCAAAAAAATAAAGAAATAGTCCTTTGATTTATATTACGATGACTTATAATGGTAATAAAAATAATTACATATTGGATTTTCTATAAAAGAACAAAGAACCAATTAAGGCAAATTCATTTTCTTCACTTCCAACGACATGTTTCTGCCTAATAGCCTAGATAGCACAAAAGGAACATTTACATTCTAAGAATATTCCTCCTAAGTTCTCATAAGTATATTCTTTTTTTAATAAGTATGGCATATGAATAGTACATTCTACTATGAATGTGATTTAAAGGTATATTATCAGCATGACCTTAGAATGTCTTCTTAAATTATGGTTTACAATAAATTTTAAGTATCTGCTATTCACGTTCTAAACATATCAATATCTGAATAAAAATAAAGGAGAATAAAAATTATTTCGAAATGAAAAAATGAATACAATACATTATATTTGTATATGTTCTTACTATTAAATTTTTGTGTATTAAATAATTAGGGATTTTATATATTAGTGTATATAGATGCACTGTAAACAAATATTCAAGCAAAAATACAGTGTTTCTTATTCTAACAAATAAATAAACCTGTAAAACTGTATAAATAAAAACGATCTTCCATTATGAAATAAAAAGATCGATTATACCAAAAGATAGTTTAATAAAACTCGATAGATTTTAATCGATTTTGGGTAAAAAGATCGATCTTCGATTGAAATCGATTCGAATCGTACATCCATAACATAACCTTAAAAAACAACAAGTGAACTATAAACGCAGGGCCATGTAAGTGAAATATTAAAAATGGTTCCAGCAAAAGTTTCCCAATTATGACGGATGATGGCGCTTATCGTCAAAATTTTTGGACAGGGATTTTGCTTACCGACAATACGACTTGAGCTACGACCGGACCAGGACCAATCAGAATGATCAGTCTTTCTTGGACATTTGCCGCGGAAGTGTGTGATAATTTCTGTTGTGATATGTGTGGTTGTGTTTGCAGTTTGATTTTTCGGTTTTGATATTATGTTAAAATTAATTTTGAAGTATTGTATCACCTGTTTTTTTGTAATAGTACTTTTTTTAGTTCTATGATCTGATATGTTATGATTTGTTAATGTTTGTTAAACAATGTTATACCAAAGAGGTTATACTTAATATACTTATGAATTTGCATAGCCCAACTTTTTTATCAATAAACTTCAGATTATTTAATTCCTTTTGTTTCCGTTTGTAATTTTATTTTTAAGACATATTATGTGATTGTTTCACATAATATGTTTTAAAAATAAAATTGCAAATAGCGAATAAAAATAATTAAAATAAAAAAGTGTATTTTACAATTCCCCCCGGCCCCGCACCCCTTTGGCTAACCTATAATGTCAGCTATGTCGAGAGATGGCGTTACAAAAATGGAACCGATTTATTACAAGGAACTTGGGCTTCTTTTTCGTTAGTATATTCTGTGTATAAACGTAAACGTGCTTCATCCAAACCCAAACTATTTTAATAATTAAAACACTGAGATAACGTAAAGGTAAGTGATGCAAATAATTATTTTAAGGATAGAATCGGTAAAATAGTTTTTGTTATGTTTGTGTTTTCAGTATCTATTTTAAGGGGAGTGAATTTAATGTTCTAAAACCATGAGACCTCGAAAAAAAAATAGGTTATACTAAAAAATATTTTAAAATTCAACCAAAGAAAAGGAGCCAAAATCTTATTAAGTCAATGTTACGCAAATATGACTCAATATTGTACATTAAACTGGATTCACACCAAAGCGATTCTTTATTATCCTCTGTACATCATCAAAGTAGTACTATCTCTGGTAGTATCATTGAAGATTTCTGTTCTAATAAGTGTAGTTCCAGTGCTGAAATTTCCTACAATATAGTATTTATATAGGTATTTATGTAGGCTCTTTTATAATCATTTATTGTGTGTATTTTTTAAGAGAAAGGTATTTTTTAGAATTATTAGGTTCGAGAATTATCTAGACTTGGTGGTTC